GCCCTCTGTGAACAGTAAACAGCCATCAGTGTGCTAATGATCCATTGTTATGCTGATGGTCCTTCTTGAGCATGTGATCAGCTGGTTTTGGTTGTCAGCAGCAAAACTGGTTGATCCACCCTGAGACGGTGCTATTTAAGAGACTGAGCTGAATACAGCTCCTCAGACTGAGGAAGTCTCTTGGATGAGAGACGAAACGTTTCTACATTTTTTTGTTGATTTGCTTTGTTTTGTTTTTTTTGAATGTCCAGAGGACCAGATTTAACTTTTTTAGATAGATTTTCGGTTGAAACCGAATGTTTTAGAGAGAGGAAGAAAAAGATAAGAAAAAAAGGCTAAATTGAAATATAAGCTTCTATTTTGGGTTCATACATGTGAGCATCCAATTCCAGACGAGTCAGTGACTCACCTGTCACAAACCTCACCGCACTGAACTTATGTAAAAAAACAGTTCATGCAAAGAGACAAGTCTCTGTGCATCAACAGAGGGTTTCAGTCGTGGTGTAGTGTAATTTGATAAATCAGGGCATCATATGAATGAGGCCGTCCCATACAGCTGGCATGGCATGGCTCAGGTAAGGCTGTGAAATACAAACCGGATTCCAAAAAGTTGGGACACTAAACAAATTGTGAATAAAACTGAATGCAATGATGTGGAGATGGCAAATATCAATATTTTATTCGTAATATAACATAGATGACAGATCAAAAGTTTAATCTGAGTAAATGTAACATTTTAAAGGAAAAATATGTTGATTCAAAATTTCACAGTGTCAACAAATCACAAAAAAGTTGGGACAAGTAGTAATAAGTGGTTGGAAAAAGGAAATTGAACATATAACGAACAGCTGGAAGACCAATTAATACTAATTAGGTCAATTGACAACATGAATGGGTATAAAAAGAGCTTCTCGGAGTGTCAGTGTCTCTCAGAAGCCAAGATGGTAAGAGGATCATCAATTCCACCATTGTTGCGCAGAAAGATAGTGCAACAATACCATAATGGTGTTACCCAGTGTAAAATAGCAAAGACTTTTAAGTTATCATCATCAACCGTGCATAACATCATCAAAAGATTCAGAGAATCTGGAACAATCGCTGTGCGTAAGCGTCAAGGCCATAAAACTCTTCTGGATGCTCGTGATCTACGGGCCCTTAAACGTCACTGTACCTCAAACAGGAATGCCACTGTCAAGGAAATAACAGAATGGGCTCAGGAATACTTCCAGAAAGCATTGTCAGTGAACACAATCCACCGTGCCATCCGCCGTTGCCAGTTGAAACTCTACAGTGCGAAGAGGAAGCCATTTCTAAGCAAGTTCACACGTTTGCACTGGGCCAGGGGTCATTTAAAATGAGTGTGGCAAAATGGAAGACTGTTCTGTGGTCAGATGAGTCACGATTTGAAGTTCTTTATTGAACACTGGGACGCCATGTCATCCGGACCAGAGAGGACAAGGATAGCCCAAGTTGTTATCAATGCTCCGTTCAGAAGCCTGCATCACTGATGGTATGGGGTTGCATGAGCGCTTGTGGCATGGGCAGCTTGCATGTCTGGAAAGCCACCATTAATGCAGAGAACTATGTTCAGGTTCTAGAACAACATATGCTCCCATCTAGACATCATCTCTTTCAGGGAAGACCCTGCATTTTTCAACACGATAATGCCAGACCACATTCTGCAGCAATCACAACGTCATGGCTACGTAGGAGAAGGATCCGGGTACTGAAATAGCCAGCCTGCAGTCCAGATCTTTCACCTATAGAGAACATTTGGCGCATCATAAAGAGGAAGGTGCGACAAAGAAGGCCCAAGACGATTGAACAGATAGAGGCCTGTATTAGACATGAATGGGAGAGCATTCCTATTTCTAAACTTGAGAAACTGGTCTCCTCTGTCCCCAGACGTCTGTTGAGTGTTGTAAGAAGAAGGGGGGATGCCACACAGTGGTAAAAATGGACTTGTCCCAACTTTTTTGTGATTTGTTGACGCCATGAAATTTGGAAACAACAGATTTTTCCCTTAAAATGATACATTCTCTCAGTTTAAACTTTTGATCTGTGATTTGTGTTCTATTCTAAATAAAATATTAGATGTTGGCACCTCAACATCATTGCATTCAGTTTTTATTCACAATTTGTTTAGTGTCCCAACTTTTTTGGAATCCGGTTTGTACACGATCTGTATTTGGACAGTGTGATCCCAAATGTTCAGACTCCCTCCCAGTTCTTCTGTTGGTGATGTCCTTCAGCTGTGCCTCAGCAACCACTGTGCTACAAATATGAGCAACTTTATGCAGCTATTGATGGCCATGCGCTATTGTCTGAACCTTGTCAACTTGAGGAATTATCATATGAGTGTTGTTCTCAATTAATTTGTTGATCTATATTTACGCACCATTTCACGTTTTGATACTGTAGTGTATCAAGGACAGCTTTGCTGTGGACATACGGTCCCACCAAATGTGTTATTTAAAACACGTACGGTCCCACCAAATGTAGTAAAATGTGGGGTGCAGCTTCGCTGTACCTTCACTACTAATTATTTAAATATAATGGGTTCTTTCTTTTTCGAGTTAAATTAATGCCATGTGACCGAGGTAACTGTGAGTATTGTTTAATCAGTGACAAGAGACGTTAATTTTCTTTGACCCATCAGCATAAATGTGGTCATTTATTTAACAGAGTCAAAATTTAACATCAAAACATGTACACATGATTAGCTGATCTGGTTCTGATTGATAACACTTGGCACACTTTACTAATAAGACAACAGGACATTTCTGAAGGCATCTAGATTACTGGCAAAATAGAAGAGTTTAAAGGAAGGAATTTAGAGGTTTAAAGAAGAGATGTAAGGAGGGAGGTGTATGTTGTTGACCAGAATTAGCACGCTTCTTCCAACAACAGCTCAAACCTCCGGTACACTTAGCGCATGACGACTCGTTACCTTCGCAGAAGATGAATCAGCTCCGGTATCGGGTCCATTTCAACGCTACCTTCCAGCGTCTCCAGTTAGAGCGGCTGGTCATTGTCAGAAGTCATGTCGATTTACTCCGTTCAACAAACAGGACCAGCTCCCTTCGAGGTTGTAGGCCGTTACGCCCGGGTGGATTCACAGCAAGTATCTGTGAGTCCGTCAGAGTTTCCACTCAGAAGTGGAAGACTCCAGAAGGCTTGAGAAGACTCCATCAAAGACTGAAGAGTCAAGAAGACTCAGAAGAACTCCAAGACTTCAGAAGAACTCAGAAGAACTTGAGAAGATGGAGAAGACTGACTAGTTACAGGAAGTTCTGACTTTTAAAAGAGTCCTCACTTCTGGTCACTTAGTACTTCCTGATTGGTTGAAACAACCAACAGGGGATGGTTCTAGTGATGTCAGAGGGTTATTGAAAGTCAAGCGAGGGTTCAGGAATGTTTAGGTTAGTTTAGTACAGACACCTGGTGGCCGGGCTTTTACCCATGGAGCTCAGCCGGGCACAGCCCGAAGAGGAGACGTGGGTCCCCCTTCCCATGGGCTCACCACCTGTGGGAGGGGCCAAAGGGGTCGGGTGCAATGTGGGATGGGTGGTGGCCGAGGGCGGGGACCCTGGCGGTCTGATCCTCAGCTACAGAAGCTGGCTATTGGGACGTGGAATGTCACCTCACTGGTGGGGAAGGAGCCTGAGCTGGTGTGTGAGGCTGAGAGGTTCCAGCTAGAAATAGTCGGACTCACCTCTACGCATGGCTCGGGCTCTGGAACCAGTTTCCTTGAGAGGGGCTGGACACTCTTCCACTCTGGAGTTGCCCCAGGTGAGAGGCGCCGAGCAGGCGTGGGCGTACTTATTGCCCCCAACTTGGTGCCTGTGTATTGGGGTTCACCCCAGTGAATGAGAGGGTGGCCTCTCTCCGCCTACGTGTGGGGGGACGGGTTCTGACTGTCGTTTGTGCTTATGCACCAAACGGCAGTTCAGATTATCCACCCTTTCTGGAGTCCTTGGAGGGGGTACTAGAAAGTGCACCTTCTGGGGACTCCCTTGTTCTGCTGGGGGACTTCAATGCTCATGTGGGCAATGACAGTGAGAACTGGAGGGGTGTGGTTGGAGGAACGGCCCCCCTGATCTGAACCAGAGTGGTGTTCTGTTGTTGGACTTCTGTGCTCGTCATGGATTGTCAATAACGAACACCTTGTTCAAGCATAAGGGTGTCCATATGTGCTCTTGGCACCAGGACACCCTAGGCTGCAGTTCGATGATCGACTTTGTCATCGTCTCATCTGATCTGCGGCCACATGTCTTGGACACTCGTGTGAAGAGAGGGGCGGAGCTGTCAACTGATCACTACCTGGTGGTGAGTTGGCTCCGATGGTGGGGGAGGATGCCGGTCAGACCTGGCAGACCCAAACGTATTGTGAGGGTTTGCTGGGAACGTCTGGCAGAGTCTCCTGTGAGACGGAGTTTCAACTCCCATCTCCGGGAGAACTTTGAACATGTTCCGAGGGAGGTGGGGGACATTGAGTCTGAGTGGACCATGTTTCGTGCCTCTATTGTCGAGGCGGCTTACTAGAGCTGCGGCCGCAAGGTTGACGGTGCCTGTCACGGCGGCAACCCTCGAACCCGATGGTGGACACCGTCGGTGAGGGATGCTGTCAGGCTGAAGAAGGAGTCCTATCGGGCCTTTTTGGCCTGTGGGACCCCGGAAGCAGCTGATGGGTACCGGTAGTCCAAGCGACATGCGGCTCGGGTGGTTGCTGAGGCAAAAACTCAGGCATGGGAGGAGTTTGGAGAGGCCATGGAGAACGACTTCCGCACGGCTTCGAGACGATTCTGGTCCACCATCCGGCGTCTCAGGGGGGAAAGCGGTATGCCACCAACACTGTTTATAGTGGGAGTGGCGTGCTGCTGACCTCAACTCGGGATGTTGTGGGTCGGTGGGCGGAATACTTTGAAGACCTCCACAATCTAACCGGCACGTCTTCCACTGAGGAAGCGGAGCCTGGGGACTCTGGGTCGGGCCCTCCAATCTCTGGTGCTGAGGTCACCGAGGTGGTTAAAAAGCTCCTCGGTGGCAGGGCCCCAGGGGTGGATGAGATTCGCCCAGAGTTCCTTAAGGCTCTGGATGTTGTAGGGTTGTGTTGGTTTACGCGACTCTGCGATATTGCGTGGACATCGGGGGAAGTTCCCCTGGATTGGCAGACCAGGGTGGTGGTCCCCCTATTCAAAAAGGGGGACCGTAGAGTGTGTTCCAACTACAGGGGAATCACGCTCTTAAGCCTCCCTGGTAAGGTTTATTTGGGGGTTCTGGAGAGGAGGGTCCGTTGGATAGTCGAACCTCGGATTCAGGAGGAGCAGTGCGGTTTTTGTCCTGGCCGTGGAACACTGGACCAGCTCTACACTCTCAGCAGGGTCCTGGAGGGTGCGTGGGAGTTTGCCCAACTAGTCTACATGTGCTTTGTGGACTTGGAGAAGGCGTTCGACCGCGTCCCTCGGGGGGCCCTGTGGGGGGCCCTGTGGGGGGTACTCTGGGAGTATGGGGTGCCAGGCCCTTTGATACGGGCTGTTAGGTCCCTGTATGACCGGTGCCAGAGCCTGGTCCGCATCGCCGGCAGTAAGTCGGGCTTGTTCCCGGTGAGAGTTGGACTCCGCCAAGGTTGCCCTTTGTCACCGATTCTGTTCATAACTTTTATGGACAGAATTTCTAGGCGCAGCCAAGGTATTGAGGGGATCCGTTTTGGTGGCCTTAGGATTGCATCTCTGCTTTTTGCAGATGATGTGGTCTTATTGGCTTCATCAGATCGTGATCTACAGCTTTCGCTGGAGCGGTTCGCAGCCGAATGCGACGCGGCTGGGATGAAGATCAGTTCCTTCAAATCCGAGGCCATGGTCTTGAGCCGGAAAAGGGTAGAGTGCCCTCTCCGGGTCAGGGAGGAGGTCCTACCCCAAGTGGAGGAGTTCAAGTATCTTGGGGTCTTGTTCACAAATGAGGGAAAAATGGAGCGTGAGATCGATAGGCGGATAGGTGCAGCGTCTGCAGTGAAGCGGGCGCTGTACAGGTCTGTCGTGGTTTATGAGGTTTAAAAAATCATTAATACTGTTTCACAGTTGATTTAAAATGAGTGGTTCACTTCAACATTAGAAATGATATGAACTAAGCACACTTTTTGATTATCAAGATATTGTAAAATAGTAATGATAATATAAAAGGAAGAGTGTTCTTTCAATTGATTACTTCAGGATACAATTAGACAGTCTCTGGATGAGCTAATTTGTATTTCTGGATTCAAATCAATGAAATAACAGTTCCTGTCCCATGAAGGTCTTCAGAGACAGGTTTTTGTCGGAGGCCTAGTTCACTACAATACATATCGACATGTGCACGGAACATGGCAGATGCAAACTTTTTGTGCTTTCACACTGTTGATATGAGGCCCCTGGTGATAAAAAACAAACAAATATCTGCTCTGGCTATGGCACTTTAAGCTGCTGCAAGTTGATAAACAAAACAGTTCACTTTTAAGATGATCCTTCCTGAAACTAATTTGATGATCTGTCAGAAATAATAACGTTCTTCTGACCTAAATTCCAAAGTAAAAGACCTATTAGTTTAAACTGTTTAAATTCTTTTGTGTGTAAAACCTAAACCTATCCTAATCTCCAAACATACTGTTGAAAATATTTTTGTGTTTTAGGCAAATTACTAAATAAAGTCTTCTTTTAGATCCTAAATATTAATTATTGCACCAGAGTGTTTCTTTGTTAAATTATTGTAGTGGAATATAACAGTTTGGATCCAGTTCAGATAATTCAGAATAATTAATTAATACCCCAAATTAGAATATCCATCCATCCATCCATCCATTATCTTTACCCGCTTATTCCATTTTGGGTCACGGGGGTCGCTGGTGCCCATGTCCAGCAATCACTGTGCGAGGGGCGGGGTACATCCTGGACGGGTCACAAGTCCATCACAGGGCCACATAGAGACAAACGAGACAAACAACCATTCACTCTCTCATTCACACCTAGGGACAATTTAGAGTTACCAGTCAGCCTAACATGCATGTTTTTGGTCTGTGGGAGGAAACTGGAGTACCTGGAGAAAACCCACGCATGCATGGAGAGAACATGCAAAATCTACCCAGGAAGGCCCCTGGACCGGGGTTTGAACCAAGGACCTGCTCGCTGAGAGGCAGCAGCTCTACCAGTTGCGCCACCGTGCTGCCCCAAATTAGAATAGTGTTCCTAAATTAATTCAATTTTATTTTTAATGTGTTGATTTTTTGTGCAGTTGTTTAATTTATTTTAATCATTATTAATCCGTACTACAAATCTTAAAAAAGGCACATTTTCTCTGTTTAATGTTAATGGGTATATATACCCTGTATATGAATGCTCCCTTTAACAAACCTTAGCTTGGGGAAAAAACAAAAAAACAAACAAAAAAAACAAAACAAATCAAACCTTAGCTGTTAAGGTCTAATAAATAATAAGAGTGAATAAATTGACTTGCGACCCGTCCAGGTGTACCCCACCTCTCGTACAGTGATGGCTGGACATGGGCACCAGTGACCCCCGCGACCTGAAAAGGAAAAAGTGGGTAAAGATAATGGATGGATGGAAATTATCTAAATTTTACTGATTTCTTACTGTATAAGATACAGTTCAATGTTTTATTGAATAATCAGTCTGGTTTCTCTTTTAACAAGTCTAAAACCATTGTAAGTGCACCTTTCTTAATTCAGTCTGCTACATTACATTCAAAATTTGACCAAAAATGCTACAACTTTGTCATTTCTCATTATGAGATATCAGTCTAAAACTCTGGCAGAAATGCATTTCTTCAAGGAATTATTCAAGGAAGACTTATTTTTGTTGTTTGTATTTCCGCTGTCACTGATGTTTTATTTTTTTCAGTAAAAAAATCCATTCTTTTTTCCTCCCACACAGGAGGACATGGTGTTGCAGCAGATTGAGAGGGAAGTGCGGATGCAGGAGGGAGCCTATAAGCTGCTGGCTGCTTGTTCCCACAGAGATCAAGCTCTAGAGGCCTCCAAAAGTCTGCTGACCTGCAACGCCCATATCCTGGCTCTGCTCAGCCAGCTGCAGAAGATCAGGAAGGAACAAATCTTAAAGCAAGAAGGAAGCAGGTCTGTTCACCTGTAAGAATGTTTGTAATTAAATTCAGTTTAGTTAACTTCAATTCAATCTAATTCAATTCAAATCAATTCAGTTTATTTATGTAGGGGTGGCTGTGGCTGAGTGGTTAGTGCAGTCGTCCTCCAATGCGAGAGCTGGGGGGTTCGAATCCACCAGCAGTCACATGCCGAAGTGTCCCTGGGCAAGACACTGAACCCCTCATAGCCTCCGATGTGTGTCCCATCGGTGTTTGAATGTGATAAAGCTCTGATTAGTCTCTTTAGAATGATTTGTTCAATTAGCTTTGTAGAGATCTAGTAGAGTGCTGTGTGGATAGGTAAATGAGGACACAGATTGTAGTGTAAAGTGCTTTGAGTATCTTGAATCTTTTCTTGAAATAAGATAGAAAGGCGCTATATAAGTACAGTCCATTTACCATTTACCATATAGCACCAAGTCACAACAGAAGTTGTCTCCTGACACTGTACAGAAACATTTACATAAATTGAAAAATCCAGTTACTGGTAGTAAAGTTCTTTATCTAAGGAAGCCAGCAGATTGTGTTGAATCTTCACTTCATCAGTTTCCCACGCTGAGCAAGCACGCTGGCAACAGTGTGGGGAGAAAGAAAAAAACCTCCAGCTGAACCAGGCTCAGGACAATCAGCCATCTGCTTCGATCGACTGGGGTTTGAGAGGACAGGAAGGAGAGACAAACAGAGAATGAATGACAGGTTCAGGTGAACTTTCAATTGGAAAGACAAAAAAAAAAGTAAGATGTGTAAGAAAGAAATAATTACAACTACAAACAGGTGTAGTAAAGCAAGTAGATACAGTAGCAGAGTGATGAAATGTGGTCAGTTTGTCCTCCAGCAGTCTAGAGAAGCATAACTAAGGGATAGCTCAGGGAACCCAAGCCGACCGTAACTATAGGATTTATTAAAAAGAAATGACTTAAGCCTAATCCTAAAATAGACAATGTGTCAGCCTCACAGACAGAAACTGGAAGTTGGTTCCACAAGAGAGGAGCCTGATAACTGAAAGATCTGCATCCCATTCTGCTTTTGGAAACTCTAGAAACCACAAGTAAACCTGCAGTTTGAGAGTGCTCTGTTAGAAAAATATGGTGCAATAAGAGCTGTAATGTAAGTCGTAGCTAGGTTGTTGAGACTGTTATATGTTAAAAGTAAGATTTTGAATTCTGAAATTGACAGGGAGCCAATGGAGAGAAGCTAAAACTGGAGAAAAATCATATGTCCTATCAACTCATTAAAACTCTGGCAGCAGCATTTTGGATCAATCGAAAACTTAAAAAAATAATTTTTGGACACCCAGATAATAAACAATTGCAATAATCCAACCTAGACATGACAAATGCATGGACCAATTTTTCTGCATCCTTTTTGAACAAGATATTTCTAATCTTAGAGATAATATGCAGTTGGAAAGAAGCGGTCCTTGTAACATTTTTAATCGGGGGTAAAGAAACCTATCTTGATCAAAAATAACACCAAGGTTTTTAACTTTAGAACTGGAGGCCAGATTAATGCCATCCAGAGAAAGTGAAAGACTGCAAAATGTATTCCTAAGATATGTAGGTCCAAAAACCACAACCACTGTCTTTTCTGAGTTTAAAGCAGAAAATTAAGGGTCATCCAAGTATTTATGCCTTTTAGACACGCCTGAAATCTAAATAATTGATTGGATTCATCAGATTTCATGGATAAATATAACTATCATCAGCATAACAATGAAAATTTATCCCATGCTGTTTAATCACTTTCTCAAATGGAAGCATATATAAAGTGTATTGGTACAAGCACTGAACTTTGAGGAACTCCATGGATAACTTTTGTGTATGAAGAAGATTCATTATTTACATTTACCACTTAGAATCTATCAAATTATTCATTAAACTTTTATTTATACAGGCTAGTCTCATTGAGCCACAAGGACTCATTTACAGGTCCTTCTAAAAAAATTAGCATATTGTGATAAAGGTCATTATTTTCCATAATGTAATGATAAAAATGAAACTTTCATATATTTCAGATTCATTGCACACCAACTGAAATAGCTTTAATTGTTTTAATACTGATGATTATGGCATACAGCTCATGAAAACCCAAAATGCCTGTCCCAAAAAATAAGCATATCATGAAAAGGTTCTCTAAACAAGCTATTAACCTAACCATCTGAATAAACGACGTAACTCTAAACAACTGCAAAAGATTCCTGAGGCTTTTAAAAACTCCCAGCCTTGTTCATTACTCAAAACCGCAATCATGGGTAAGACTGCCGACCTGACTGCTGTCCAGAAGGCCATCATTGACACCCTCAAGCAAGAGGGTAAGACACAGGAAGAAATTGCTGAACGAATAGGCTGTTCCCAGAGTGCTGTATCAAGGCACCTCAGTGGGAAGTCTGTGGGAAGGGAAAAGTGTGGCAGAAAACGCTGCACAACGAGAAGAGGTGACCGGACCCTGAGGAGGATTGTGGAGAAGGGCCAATTCCAGACCTTGGGGGACCTGCGGAAGCAGTGGACTGAGTCTGGAGTAGAAACATCCAGAGCCACCGTGCACAGGCGTGTGCAGGAAATGGGCTACAGGTGCCCCATTCCCCAGGTCAAGCCACTTTTGAACCAGAAACAGCGGCAGAAGCATCTCACCTGGGACTGCTGCTGAGTGGTCCAAAGTTATGTTCTCTGATTACAGTAAATTTTGCATTTCCTTTGGAAATCAAGGCCCCAGAGTCTGGAGGAAGAGAGGAGACACAAAATTCACATTGCTTGAGGTCCAGTGTCAAGTTTCCACAGTCACTGGGGTGTCATGTCAGCTGCTGGTGTTGGTCCACTGTGTTTTATCAAGCGCAGGGTCAATGCAGCTAGCTATCAGGAGATTTTGGAGCACTTCATGCTTCCATCTGCTGAAAAGCTTTATGGAGATGAAGATTTCATTTTTCAGCATGACCTGGCACCTGCTCACAGTGCCAAAACCACTGGTAAATGGTTTACTGACCATGGTATTACTGTGCTCAATTGGCCTGCCAACTCTCCTGACCTGAACCCCATAGAGAACCTGTGGGATATTGTGAAGAGAAAGTTGAGAGACGCAAGACCCAACACTCTGGATGAGCTTAAGGCCGCTATCAAAGCATCCTGGGCCTCCATAACACCTCAGCAGTGCCACAAGCTGATTGCCTCCATGCCACGCCGCATTGAAGCAGTCATTCATGCAAAAGGATTCCCGACCAAGTATTGAGTGCATAACTGAACATGATGGTTCTAGAATTGCGCCGCTCAATGTGGCTGCATGTTGGAGCAGCTCTGTTACTTTCATTCTGAGATTTTGCTTTTGGAAACTGTGATTCCTCTTTTTCTGGATGTGGGTGGCGTTTTTGGGATGGTGGTTTCCTCTGGTATCAGATGCTGTGCAGCTGGAAGGATTTTTACTGAAACTTTTTTAGTTTTGGACATTTGTTATGATGCGTAACCATGGCAACAAGGCAGCTTTCTACAACCAACAGCAGCTGATTAACATCTCAAAAGCTCAAATAATATCTCAACTACAGCCCCAAATCTCAAATGAGTTGAAAAGGATGTTCTGTGGACACATTCTCATCTACCTGCCAGTTGTGCTCTAGTGCCTGGCCACTGAGATCCTCGAACTAGCAGGAAACACGGCTCATGACAGCAGAAGGACAGGATCGTCCCTCGGCACCTACAGTTGGCTGTCCACAGCGACAAGGAGCTCGGCAGAGTGCTGGGAGGAGTGGCCATCGCTCTGGGAGGAGTTCTGCCTGGCATTCGGGCGGTCCTACAGCCCGGGGGAACCAAGAGGCCAGTCGAGTCTGGGTGGACGGATCGGACGGCATCTGTAGCCATTTTCATAGGATCCACTGTGGGATGGACCTTTACAAGAGATCCTTCCTGTCTACAGCCATCAGCATCTATAACATCTCTTAATGAAATGAGGATAATGAGTTACTACAACAAATAATTTCCCTCTGGGATTAATAAAGTATATTTGAATTTGAATTTGAATTGAATTATTTGAAGGTTGGCGTTTTTTGTATTAAAAACACTTGTCTTTCATTGGTGGGATGAAATATGCTAATTTTTTGGGACAGGCATTTTGGGTTTTCATGAGCTGTATGCCATAATCATCAGTATTAAAACTATTAAAGACCTGAAATATTTCAGTTGGTGTGCAATGAATCTGAAATATATGAAAGTTTCATTTTTATCATTACATTATGGAAAATAATGGCCTTTATCACAATATGCTAATTTTTTTAGAAGGACCTGTACAAGAGAGACATGTAGGAAATTAAAATGGATATTATAGGAAATTAATATGATTTAAATCATTTTAATAGCTGTTCCTGTAATCCCAATATTATATTCAAGCCTCTGTAGTAGAATATTGTGATCAACTGTATCAAATGCAGCACTGAGGTCTTGCAAGACCAGTATAATAATAATAATAATATTTATTATTATTTATTTGTATAGCACCTTTCAAATAAATGTTACAAAGTGCTTCACATAATCAATTAAAACATCATAAATGACATCAGAAACACAAAAAATATACCAAATCAATTAAAATAACAACATAAAAAAGAAAGAAATTCAAATATTAAAAGCCTTATAAGTTTTAATTAATGATTTAAAAGAAAACAATGAAGAGGCCTATCTAATATTTAAAGGAAGGGCATTCCACAAATTAGGAGCCCTGACCATAAAAGCCCTCCCTCCTTCTGTCACCAGTCGAGTTCTGGGAGTGGAAAGTAAGAACAGATTTAAGGATCTGAGATTGCAAGAGGGGATGTAGGGGGTAAGAAGCTCAGATAGATATGATGGCGCAAGACCTTTCAGGGATTTAAAAACAAACAATAAAATTTTAAAATCAATTCTAAAAACCACAGGGAGCCAATGCAATGAGGACAGAACTGGAGTGATATGCTGATATTTATGGGATCTTGTGAGAACTCTAGCTGCAGTGTTTTGT